GGTACACAGGTTTCATTGTTTATGAAATCAAAGCCCTGATGTAAGAAGACCAGGAGGTAAGTGAAATTTATTCCATTTTAAACGAGAATTCGATACAAGATGCCATCTTTAAAATTGGGAATTATATTTAGTAATAGTCAAGAACAATTTATTTAATAACAGACCTGAAGTACTTTCCAAGGGGCATTTATAGAAAAGTTACTTAATCCACTGCTGAAACTTCAGAAGGAACACAGCAACTGTCTAAGGGCTGACTACACAACACACACTGTATCAGAACAGGACTGCGGCCTTCAGCTGGAAGTGCTGATGGAAATTTCTCAGTTAACCTTGGAAGTAAAAAGATTAAGAAGAAAATAGTATGTTTAGCTTTATTATCTAAAGGTGTGAATGCAACAGAGAGTAGGTTTTTTGATGTAAAATGTATACAAGTAGAGTATTTTTTTAAGGAGGTTCATTTTCAATGTCAGATGCTATAAGTTACAGAGTGAGAAAAAAATATTATGTGATTTTTATTGCTGGTGCTCCTTACATAAGGCACATCTTAAGGCACAAGCAAGAAAAGAATTAGAATAGTTTAATCTGCATGGTTACATTTCCAACATACAATTTCTGTTAAATGTTGATGTGCCGTACACCAATTGAAAGATCATTATCAGATCATGAATTTCTCAGTCTCATAAAGTGGTAGCCAACTGGCACAATCAAAGGTCATCACAGATATCTAGCGGTATGGAAGCATATATTGTACAACCTGTCCCAGCAAGACTGTCTTTAGCAATAGCATAAATACTTAACAAGATCAATAAGGTGATAGATGGAAGAGCACAGCGTGCACACACACACTGCGTGCTCAAATGAAGAAACATGAGTTGGCATACAGACCACCCAAAACTAGGTCAGGATGTATCGATCAGACATCACAACCTCATCAGACAATAAGGCTCTCAGCAATGTTTTCCAGCTCAGACAGAAGACCCGCAAAGTCTCAGTTGCTGAACGCAAGCCATACCATCTAACCCCCACCAGCAGTTTACTGAAACCTGCGCTTAACGAAGTGACAGTGTGCTGCTGCTGTTTAGGGGGGGTCTGAAAGCAAGAAAGAAGTAGAAGTGCCTGTTACAACAGGAAGAGAGGCTTAAAAGGCTATCAGATGACCAAATGTGATGTGAGGAATGACTGCCATGAGGTTTAGGGTGCCAGCCATGCCATGGCTGGCCTCCCATCCTGGCATCAGAGGCTCCAGCACCTTTCACAAAGATAATTAATTTGACCTCTGGCTGGGTGAATTTCTTTACTATAAAATAGCAAGAACGGGCCAGTTCAAGAAAGTGCTATTTGATGACCAAGGAAGAGCACGTCTATTAGCAAAGTCATTTTAAAACTAACAAAACGCTCCCCAGAGGGGAGGAAATCTGCTTGGGATGTCAGGGTAAGTGCTGCTGCTGCTGCTCAAAAGGTACTGCTGCTGCTGCTCAGAAGGTACTAACAGTCACTGGCACTGTATGTTACGGGATGGATTAGACAGTCTCACCGTCAGCCTGCACAAAAGCAACAAAGTGGTGTTTGGAGGAGAAAGGAAGTTTAAACTGTCTGCACCTCAGAGGGAAAAAAACAACTTGATCAGACGGCTGACAATCCTACTTTCCAGCTTTCCTGCGCTATAGGAGGAAATGCCTTTTCTCTAGCCATCAGAGCAACAGGTTTACTACCTAACATGCTTTAGGGAGAGGTAAAACGATAGGTCAAGTACACTCACAAACCTTTTTTCAACTGACTCAATTCTGTATTTTAGACATAATCGTTGCCTGAGAAGAGGCCTTCTCTGCAGCAAAGTCCCTCACCTCAAATACAAGCTATCCCCATGGTTAGCTAACCAAATTTCCTACGTGGAACTGCAGAACAAACCAGGGCACCTGCAACTCTGCAAACAAAGATTTTTGGCAACTTCCTCATGACTAAAAGGCATGTTCCCTTAGACCCGCACCTTGTGTGGCCAATGCTGCACAGAACTCCCCATAAATTTATCTTTGTCACTGTAGAAAGAGTTGCAATTTGGTGAATACCAAAAGGAAGCTAGACACAAGAATACCAGCGTTCCATCAGTTTAGCGTCCCAGAGTGACTTCAGGTAAGTTGTTTAACTTGCCTGTGTCTCAGTTTCTCCTTCTGTAAACATTATTTGGAAATCTTTTGATGAAAGAGACTACTCTCCTGGAGAACTATTTCAATTCATCTTACTTTATCTTTAAAAAACAGCCTAATGCTGAGACTTTGTTTATTTGAATTGGCACATCTCTCCAATTTAATTGAAAGTCAAGTGCCTTCAAAGGAGAGTGCCAAAGTAAGCACGTTACAACAGAAGTGCTCAGGGTTGCACACCTATTGCATTAAAGCTCTCTGATGCCAGGCAGCGTCCTAGAAGTGACAGACAGACATTGCTGAGCCTTGATTTTTCTTGTTCTCCTACTGTCTGTTTCCATACAAATGGTTAAATGCTCATCCAGTTTCTTCTGACCCTAAAACGTATACAGTTACAGGACTAGATCTTTTCCTGCTTGAAAACCACCTCTTGTGCTCCCAAATTATTACAACTGGAAATGCTGGAATGGAGTCACTGGAAAGGTAATCTTTACATTTGTTTTAAGATCCTGTATCTGTTATATTGCTGCCAGCTGGCTAGAAGCGTCCATCAGTATGATCGTAACACCTCTGTAAAACATGGACTACTAGGCCCTTCTGCCACCGTCCCCAAGAGTTCAGAGGCTGTCTCCTTAAAGTGGCAAGGGGACCACCACTAAAAGGACAGACTAAAATTACTTCATCTGCACAAGCAAAGAAAAACAGTAAAACAGAAGAACAAGCTTAAAGGGTCAGCTGGTCACACAGATAGAAACATCTCCTTGCATTACTAATGGACTCCTTAAAACGTCTGCAACACTAATAGAGAAAGGCACGTCTTATTCATGAAAGACAGCAGGGGAAAAAGGAGAGAGTTGCTTTATTTATCAGGGATATAGCTACCAGTTATAAAGTTCAGGAAATAACAGATGACAAGCAAACTGCAAGTCCTGGAATAACATTAAAAAGAAAAATAAAGGGATATAGTGTCATCCACAGACGTCCACCCCTGGCCAGTAAACAGCAAAAGCATTTTTAGAACTAAGTTTCTCCCAGAGTAACAAATTGGTGGTAATGAGGGACTGTTCCGAAAGACCTATGATGGGATTCAGACAGTCCTGTATGTTCCTGAAATGTGATGAGAGCTTTCAAAAAGGCAGGTTAAGAAAAGCAACTCAAGGGGAAGCTCTTCTAGATTTGGTTCTGACCAATTGGGAGGAACCGTTGGGAGAACCTGAAGTTGAAAGGCACCAGAACAAATAATCCCAAGCCTACTGCTAAGCAACTAGCAGATAAAGTGTTAGTAAGTTAACGTTAACTTACAAACATTACTAACGTTAGAACTTACCACGGACAAATCTTCACAAAACAAAAACGCATTTCTTTCCCTTACATGCTAAAAGGCCTTGCAAACAGAGGACAGTCAATTGTTCCAGTAAATGTGGACTTCAGAAAAGACTTCTGACACCGTCCAGGATTACAGTTTCATAAACAATATATACATGAAACAACGATGGAGTGGTTGGAAGCTCAAATGATGATGAGCAACACTTCTGTTAAACTGGAAGCATATAGCAAGCGGGGCTTTGGGAAGGTTCTGATACCAATACGGTTTAATATTTTCTTTCTTAAGTTACTAGTTATGAGTTTGACATCAAACGAGGAATGGCTGCAGATGCTTTAGAATCAAGAATTTAATTCTAAAGGAACTTGACAAGTTGGCAAAGTAATCTGAAATGAACTGCTGCAAGTGCAAGATCACTATAGTTAACATAGATAACAGTACAAGATAACTATATTAATACACAATGTGGTGATTGCTCATAGTCTTCTGCTCCTCATATACAATATCTTCTCATTCTACCCAGCTCTGACAAGGCCTTAGGTACAGTACTGTGCACAGTTCTGGACACCATACCTCAGGGAACATGGGAAACAAAAGGACGGGATGCAGAAGAGCGAAGCAAGATTGACCAGCCACCAAAAAACCATGACCTATCCAGAGACACTGTAAAGTACAAAATATCTAGCCTGTGACAGAGAAAACCCCAAGTGGTATGCAAATCACCAACACTGAACGAATAAAATGGCTCTTTGACACGGAAACATTAACACCACGATCTGAAAAGCCCAACTGCGCCCAGCTTATCTGAGCCATAAGGAATTAGGAGTGGGAGTGGAATAGCCCTTCTCCCAGCTGTGAGACCAACATCTCCCTGAGCTTCAAGCAGCAGTCACCATATTAAATCTTGGCTTACTGCCACTTCACAGGGTGTCACTCTCTTCTTTATCCAGAAAGAGTTTTCCCTATCCAAACTAAAACACGTTCATTCCATGCTATTTGGAGTCACTGATCTTAATTCAGGTGTACTGCCAACTCTTTGGCCATATGTATGGCACTAAACTCCACACAAAGAGAACATAAGCAAATAATGCCCTCTTAGTGAACAAACATGGCCCAATTACCCCATCTGAAAGTCATACACAACTGACAGCTTTAAAGATATCAGCCAACACATTTCAATTTTCAGAAAGCTTGGAGATAGGCAATATAAAGAAACCCATCATAATACTCAACAGTTGAGATCTTTGAAAGGTGCTTAAGGAATTTAGACACAGATGTTTCATTAAACCCAATGCAAAATAGATGTCTCTGGTACAGATAAACAGACCAGAGGCCATTTTGGAACAGAATACTGGAAAACATTTTGCCACAGTAAGAACACTTGAAGCCAAACCCAGAACCTGGGCATAAAGGCAAGAGTAATTAGTTTTCAACTTGCTAGACAGCAATTAGCTTTCACCTTGAAAGAGAGCCTCTCTGGAATGGATGGGGTAACAAGTCTGAAGACTGGATCTAAATATTATTTTTACCCATACCTCATGTGACTTGCCAGGCTATCTTGAGCATTCGAAAGTCCTAGATCTGAAAGCGAATCCGAACAGACAGATACAGGAGACAAAGACCTCTCTTTCTCCTCTAGCAGGTCAAGTTTCACCAAGGAGCTAGTCTCATCTTCTGAGTTATCCTCTGACACGGAACCAATGATAAAGCGAGAGTGAGGGTTCATCTCCCCGGGTTTAGCTGGTGGGGTGGATTCTTCCATGGCTCCTCCAAATTGGGCTCTTAGCACTATAACAGGCAAAGAAAGCAAAAGACAAGACTTGAGGTTAACATCTGCAATTGCAAAACAAAGAACAAGAAAAAGCAAGGTTCATTTCTGATGAGAAATGCAATGTTAAAATACTAGAGCTGAACCCAGACAGGAGTCCAGGATCACTACTTCTGCTACAATCATTGACTTTACTGTTTGCACAAGGACTGCGAGATCAAAGCACCTGGTCATTCTGATCTGTTGCAAAAAGCTGGTAGTTTAGACAAAGCTGCAGCAGGCATGTGAAAGAAAATCACAGATAAGAAATTTCGGACTTCTAGTTACGTTTTTATTAACAATTTTTATTTTGATAGCATCTGAATACTGGAACTCATTGTGCTAGATATTACAGGCTAGATATAGGCACCAAAAGCTTGAGGCAAAATCAAAAAGTTTGAAGTTTTCAGGCTTAGAGAAGCCACATGGCAAAAATCATTGGATGCTGGAACAGCTACAGGATTAAATAAAGATCTTTTAAAAAAAAAAAAGAAGTGATTCCCCAGGAGTTCTCTATACAGATCATAGCATAAGCAGCAATATTTTAAACTTCTTCCACACACGGCTGTGCTACCTGCTTTATCCTTAACATGAAAAGATCAAGCTTTAGGAAGACTTTTCAAAGCTCATTCAGGTCCAAAGATAAATTACCATAGGATGATTTGAACAAATCTAACGGCCCACCACTGTCAAAGGGAGAGGTCTTCCCACCTAACTTCCTCTCTGCCCACAGCTGTACGCTCACACTGCTTACTCCCCACCAGCTCCGGTGCTTTCCAGATCCCTCTCCGAACTGACTCAACAAAATCCTCAGAAAAGTAACCCATGAAAAAAAAAAAAAAAGATCATTTCCTGCAAGGTTGGCAAGTAGAATCAGCTTAGCTATGGGTCTGACAAGCAGAGGAAGATACTGGTAAGAGACGATGGAGAAAGAAGTAAAACTTCCCCCTCCTGGCAGCAGTGAGCTGTTAAGACTGGCTCAGCCATCTTCTGTAACTTCACCCTGACTTTCACCTCTCAGTCTCAGATCATCCATGTCAATTAGGGGATGGAATCTACTATATGGTAATACAGTGAAAATTAGTGGCAAGTTTTCCAATCATTGGAGGAAAATGCTAAAGTTGAGGTCTCCATTTTCCATTAAAAACCATCACACAGAAGACTATCTCTTACCACAGGGATCTTTGAAGTATCAAAATTCAGTGTTACCAGCAAATGAATGTAACAATTTTAAGTATGAAAAAAATAAAATTGAGAAAGACAGAGCATGAGAGATGGAGAGGGAACAAAGGAGCACCCCACAGCACAGTCAAAAATAGCTGGGATGGGGAATACACCTTTGATGCACCCTGCTCTGCCTGATTTTGATGCACTTACATACAGGACTTCTGCACACAGATGGAAAACAAATCCTTAAAAAATTAGGAATGTTTATGTACTAACCTCTGGTTAGTCTTGCAATCTGAGCAGATATCCACTTCCAAAATGAACTGGAAAATAAGAGAATTATCAAGAAAGTGTTATTATGAAGACTACTCTAGATGGGTATTCCTGACTATATCAATCAATAAGCACAAGACTGTTGAGAAAAAACAGCACAAAACAGGTTACATAGCTTGTGTAGAGTAAAGTCACAGAGTAAACCAGAAACTCAATCTAAGACGCTCAAGTCGAGCTGCAACATCTGCTGCTACTCCATCATTCCGGCAACTTTTGAACCATGTGTTAGCACACGCAAGATAAAGACCTGATCATCCCCCATGTATTTCAGTCTAGTTTCTAGAAGAAATGAGGCTTTGTGCCAGGGCTATCTACCTACGTCAAACTCCTCTCCATCACCTCTGAACTTCCGAATCTGCTGGCCAATCTCAATGCTCAGGAGTAAATCTCAACCCTAACTATATTCTTAAAAACCTTACGGACAATTGATGGGTAGAAGCACGGGTGACATACCATATTTTCACATCAAGAAAATAGTAGTTTATCTGTAAAAGAAATTATGATGCAGCAATACAGACGAGGGCAAGAGGCAGGGACGTTTATGTCCAGGCCCCAGTCTCCCCATAGCTACTTCACTACACCAAAAAGACTGTTTCAATCCTTAACTTTCACTGACTTCCTAAACCAAAGAGAAAGCTTTGCAAATCCTGCTAACTAGAGCGATGTTACGCCAAGTACAGGGATGCAGCTTCACTGGTTTGATACAAACACGACAGCTTTCATCCGGTTTACACAAGCAAAAACTGGACCATGTTGTAATACAAACAGGACACGATCATGATTTTAATTAGAGCACAGACCAGGAATTTATAGATACTTTTATCTTTAAACACCATGCTCTTTCTTTTCATCAGTAACTGAAAATTAGAAACAGATCCAACTGGCTTACGCACTTTCACCATGAACGTACTTGACTGAATTATTTAGATCAAACTCTGTGTTGATATCACTGCTCTCACAAACTCCAGTTTCACTGGGGCCACGGGAAGTTCATTTTACAGAGAAACGTACTTAATCATTTTATGACTGAAAAGTTGTAAGTGTCTGCCCAATATAGGCATTAAAGGGTGATTCTATCTGCCTTTTTTGAGGGTACAGAAGGGGAAGCACGACTGTAAAGGCTGCACACTTATCTGTCAAGTACAGAAACTAAGCCACTTAGGACAATTTCTTTCACTGATCTGCTTGGACAAGACTTATTCTCATCACTCAAATTACACACAGTAGACTGCTCAGAACGTTCAGCTGCAAAATTGTTTCCGAGTTATTAGCCCAAACTATCCGAAACAGAGACACTTGTTGCGTGTATATGCCAAATCACAGTGAAAAAAGTACCTACGTTTTTTCAGTTCTCAACTCACTCCAACAGTTGGCTTCTTTTTTTCAAATTTTCCTTTACACACACACACAAACATGAAGACAATATTTATGTGTATATTTATTCTAGCATCAGACACTCCTTGACAGAATCTGGGATAGCCAAATGACTGTTAGCCAAACTAACTTCAATCCTGCTTAATGAAGAAAGATTTTTCTAATTTCAAGAACATATACATTAATAATCAAGTTTCGAGGCTTTTTTTTTAAGCAGAGAAAGAAACAGAGGCAGAGGAGGAGAAACGTTTCATGCTACTATTCCATGGGAAAACATCAAACTAATGCCAGGGCTGCCAATTCCCAACCCCATGCTCAAACAACTCGACTCAAATGCCTTGTTTGTGCAAGTCGTTATAAAGCAGTTAGTTATCCATGAAGCCCCATTCCAGCACAATTACCCACGCACCTCAGCCCCTTTCTGCAGCCCTTGCTCTTCAGTTCCAAAGTCATAAGAGTTCTTTGAAAATGTTGTGATCAGTAGTATCTCAACCTTGCATCAAATTAGACATACATGCAGCTTGCTCTCAGTATGCTGAAACTCATTATTCATACCTAATTGAATTTCAACATTGTTTTGCAGCCAACTAAAACGTACAATTTCTCAGCCATCTCCTTACAGAAGCCTTTGCTTTCCATACTGCAGACAGAATATGAAAGTCTCAGTAAACCAGGGCACATTGTATTCTTTTGAAGCGTTAACTGCCATAGTTGAAAACACAGCTTCTTCACTTAACTTCAGCTAACCGCCAACATAATATTCGCACAGCATTAACCTTAGCATAGGTGCCGTTTGTTTTAATAACGTTGAACTAGACCCTGAAAGACAAAGTTGCCTGGCTCCTCTACTCTATGTACTCCCTACACTTATTTTTGCAAGCGTCAACTACCCGTCGTCTAACAGGGCAACTTCTGCAGAGACTGAAAAGATTATAAATTATAGAAGAATTCAGATTCAGAATTTGGTCCTGCAAAGATTTACGAACATGTAACATCATGCACTTCAAGCCTGCTCAGTTACATTAGCATACGCTAAGTCACAGTTAAGGCTTTACAAAAATCTAAGCCACATCGTCCTCCTTTCTCCTGGGGAAATCATCTCATATTAAAAGTCGGAAGATGCATAACATTTTTTAAACTCCTCAGCTCTGAAGGCATCACTGAATTTAAAACGCAAATCGTGTTCTTTGTATGCCTCGCACTACAAGCGATGAAAACTCTGTAATCCAAATTTAAAAGGTAACATATCGAGTTTTGGCCTGAGGTGGAACAAAACCTGATTCACTTCTTCACAGCTATCCTATCATTAGGAAAACTTTTGGCTTGCCAATGAAATGCATATAAAAACTTCTAACGTCTAATATTCTTACATGACAACTTCATTTTAAGATCATTTTTCTACTGTAAATTACACCTAAGCATGAAACGTATGTAATGTCAATCTGAAATTAAGTTTTTAATTTTTTTTTGAACCACCCCATTCTGAAAAGAGTTATATTACTGAAAAAAATAGTATTATTTCAGTGAAAATTAGTTGTAGGTTCCTTCAAAAACACAGCATAATGCCTCTACAATATCGGTAAGTCATAAAACAACGAATTCTAACAAAACTATCCGTATTTAAAGGCCTCCTATTTAAAACCCAAGGATCTGTGATACTGTTAATCAATACAAGTTATTTTAGAACAATGAAATGGACACGTCTACTCTCACCAGCTTTCTCTCACCACCTACTTTCACTACTTATTTGCTTTTACTCAAAAACAACAACAAATCGGCTACCTTCCTACCTGTAGCAGGACTGGAAGCGAATTAGAAAATAGAGGGGTGATTTTTGTATCAAGACGGGCCATTAAGCAGTAAAACATTCACCTCCAGAACTACCTGCCTGCGTTCTTCTTCCAAGCCAGCTGCCGCTGTATCTTAAAACTTACTCTGAAAACTTGTAGCTCTTACACAATTAGTGGGCCACTGCTTCAGCTCTTCTGCATCTGAGCCAAAAAGTCAAATTTCACAGAGCAATTAAAATCACATCTACCTATTAGCGTAGGCCCATACATTCTAGTTAATAATTGGACAGTGACAGTTGCTGAGAAGAACAGTTCAGGGTAGGAAGTGAAGCAAAGTACTGCGAAGTTCCTTTGCTTCATTTGCATTGAGAGGTACTTTACGAAGTACAAACCACTATGTATGTCCACAGGTTAGTAGTTTTAGTTAGCTAATTTTAATATTTACCATATCAATGTTAAACACACATAAAGCTAAACGTACAACTTGAATATAGGCTTCCTAGCCTCCTGGGGGGAAATAATTAACTGTCACTTTCAAGAAGAACACAGAGGCAAAAGTCACAGCCTCTGTTTACATCAATCCTAGTTTGGTAAAACACCCAAAACTGTGCCTAAATCCCATCGTCTTTGACGGGACTGGACACCACTTAAACGTTCTGCTGAATTTTTACAGCCTGCTAAGTGGATCCAGACTACAATTTCACTTTGGACCTCTTTTATCTTGAAAACTTCACAAGCCGACTTAAAAGGGGCCAGAAAAGCAGGGGAGAGAATGATCTGAATTGTTCTAGCTTTACTATTTCTGAAGCACCCGAAGTTCGACAGCACTTTCCAGAAGGCATGCCCAAGCTTCCTTCCTAAATCCGCCCCCCAACCCCCACTCTTTAGGGAGGGAGCTTGAAATCACAGCAGGAACAGAAGGGGGGCGACCGGGAGGGAGGTGGAAGCCGGCACAACGGACGCCTCGCGCTCCGCGGACCTCGACGGCTCCAACACCCTCGCGTTTACCGCTGCGAATTAACCCCCTTGTTCCAGAAGGCATGCCCAAGCTTCCTTCCTAAATCCGCCCCCCAACCCCCACTCTTTAGGGAGGGAGCTTGAAATCACAGCAGGAACAGAAGGGGGGCGACCGGGAGGGAGGTGGAAGCCGGCACAACGGACGCCTCGCGCTCCGCGGACCTCGACGGCTCCAACACCCTCGCGTTTACCGCTGCGAATTAACCCCCTTGCATCAGGCAAAGCAACAAAACCACTTGTGGCGCGGCGCGGCGCGGCGGGGCGCGGGGACCCGGCCGCGCTGCAGC